GGATGATCTTGGAACGATTAGGTTGTCCCCCCAAGTTCCTCAAAATGATCATTCTGTTACATGAGGACCAGCAAGGCCAAGTCAGGTATGGCGATGCACTCTCTGAGCCTTTCCCAATAACCAATGGTGTGAAACAAGGTTGTGTTCTCGCACCGACTCTATTCACAATTTTCTTCAGCATGATGCTCCAAAGGGCTACGGCAGACCTTGATGAACAAGACGACATTTATATTCGATATCGTACCGATGGTAGCCTATTCAATCTAAGGTGACTGAAGGCCCACACTAAGACCCTAAATCATCTTGTCCGTGAACTGCTTTTTGCTGATGATGCCACCCTTGTTGCTCACACAGAAGCAGCTCTGCAGCGTTTAACATCTTGCTTTGCAGAGGCAGCCGAGGTTTTTGGGCTGGAAGTCAGCTTGAAGAAGACAGTAGTCCTCTACCAGCCTGCACCGCAAGAAGATCATCGCCATCCCCATATTACCATCGGTGAGTCAGAGCTTAAGACAGTTCAGCAGTTCAGCTATCTGAGAAGCATCATTTCCTCACATGCCACTGTCAACAAAGAGATAGACAACAGAATAGCAAAGCCATATAGAGCCTTCGGAAAACTTCATAAAAGAGTCTGGTGTAACAAACACCTGAAGAAAAGTACAAAGATCGGTGTTTATAGAGCCATTGTATTGTCTACTCTTTTATATGGGTCTGAATCATGGGTCATCTACTGTCATCACCTGCGACTCCTGGAACGCTTTCATCAGCGCTGCCTCCATACAATTCTAAACATCCATTGGACTGACTATGTGTCTAATGTCACTGTCCTCGAACAAGCAGGAGTCACCAGTATTGAGGCCATATTGCTGAAATTGCAGCTGCGCTGGGCAGGGCACGTCTCTAGGATGAAGGATCACCGCCTCCCCAAGATCGTGTTTTATGGTGAACTTGCCACCGGTAGCCACAAGAGAGGTGCCACAAAGAAGAGATATAAGGACTCCTTGAAACAATATCTTAGCCTTGGCCAAATCAACTATCATCAGTGGTCCACCTTGGCCTCCAATCGGGAGACTCGGAGGCACACCATACATAATGCTGTTGACTCCTTTGAGAGTTTACGAAGAACTAGCCTCAAGGAGAAAAGACAACGCAGAAAGAATCGCGCCCCACCTGTACCACCCAAGGAGACCTTCTGCTGTGCCTTTTGGAACCGGATTTGCCTATCCCACATTGGCCTTCTTAGCCATCAGAGCGCCTGTAGTAAGCGTGGGCAAAGCCCTTCCTAAATCTTCGTTCGCGAAGTCAAGTCATGATTACTACTGGTGGTAGCAGCAGTGGTTTCTGTTATACCTTAGTTACTGGACTGTTCTTATCTCAACCCATGGGACATACATTCTTTCGACTTTCCTCCCCATCCCTCCAGGAGCAGGGGGAGGAAAGGCAGGGAGTGAGCAAGTGGCTGCATGCTTCTGGGCTGCCGGCTGGGCTTAAACCACGACAGTTCTTTGTGGGATACTATACACTCAAAAACACCTTGGTCTCAGTGGGCCACGTAGTCCCTGAATCTTTCTCTAGCCATGGCCCATTCTGTGCTGCAGGAAGGTGCACAGTGCTTTGTCAATGGAGGTGCTGCACAGGCAGGAGATATTTGATGCTACTGCTGAACCCAGGACAGAAGCAAAACCAGAAGACTGAATGTTTTACATCCACATACACATTGAGTATCCAGTGACAATAAGAAAGCAGTAGAATGGACAATACAGAACCAACTAAACTAAAATCTGGCTTTTGATGCATTAGGTATGATATTGGCTACGAATAATGAGGTATGGAAAGTAGCTAGGTATAACTACCCCAACATTTATTTATTTCTGCTGTAGAGTGTATATGCCTAGCAGCTGTCAAGAGTTTGACTTGCTACCCATGTTAGACTGCCTAGCACCTCAGAAGGGCTTATGACTGCAGAGGGACTAGCTCTGCCATTTGGAAACAAACTGATGTGGAACTCCTTTGGAATTGGTGTAGGAATAGGCTACTTACTGCTGCTTGCCCACATGGAATCAGGAAATGTTTTCAACGAGGCTGTCACACCCAAGAGTTAATAATAACAGCTTTTCAGCAGGGATATTTCAAAACATAGTTGTTTTTATGTGCCTTAGAAGACCCAGAGAGGAGAAGGTTCATAGAGTTCATCTCAAATCCTGCAAATTGGGCCATTAGTCTTTACGTCCAGTAAGAGGACTGAGGTTTGTAAACCTCATTAAATATTACAGGATCTCCAATTGTTTACAGTTGTGTTTATAATGAAGTTTGAAGTAGAAAAGCAGAACAAAGGTTGTGATTTCCCCTTTTGCTTTTGTGGGAATAAATCAGTTTTGTTCCAGAATAAACTAGATACTTCTCTTAAGTATGATGATTTAAAAAGGAAAAAAAGTGTAATTGAAGAAAATTTTGTCTCTCTGAAGGGCACAGCAAGAAAAGCACTCCAAGATGTGCTTTTTATCCTGAAAGACAGGTTACAACGTGATGAAGACACATTTAGACCAGCTGACTTGATAGTTACAACACAGTCACCATAGTAACAGAATCCATTTATCCTTTTCTCCGTAATTCAGTGAAGAAACACAAATGAGGCAGGGGGCAGAAATATAGGGAACTTGTTCTGTTACTACTGCTTATCTTCATACACCTCTGTTGAAGTGTTTTAAAACACAAACAGGTACCCAAAACACTTCCATTGGCTCACAGAGTTTGGAGGGCAAATTATTAAGACTTCGTTTAATGCATATTAGTTATTTGTCTTTGATATTTTTAATACTTTGCATATTCACCTGAAGTAGCTTTTGTTTACCACAGGCAACATTTTTAAAGCAGACTGTAACATAGTTCTAATACTTGGGTCAGGACAAGTACAGCTAATTTTTGTTATATTAATTCCCCTAAATGTTAGGGGAATAAACAGAACCTATTCTTGCAAAGAACAAATAGATTATGTATTAGTATCCTTTTATTGGAGTTTCAGAAGTCAACAGCAAAAAGCCAGGAATTTTGAGCCATATTCCAGCTTTTCCAGTTGTGCTCCATCTGTAACAGTGATACAGCATAGTCACCTCTCAGCTGAGGAAAAAAGGGTAAACCAAAATGCTAAGTCCAGAGTTAATGGTAAAACTTCCAAGAAGTTTAACTTTTATTTCTCCAAATTTATTCTCCAGTAGTCAGACTTAACCTGTGCAAACTTATTTGAATAGGCCAGACTACCCCATTCTTTCATTTCTTCAATTCCCACTGTAGGCTTAAATCATAGGTTTAAACTAACAAAAGCATGTGTGGCTTTAACATAGTAAAATACAACAAACTGTTCTAACTTGCTAACACGTAGAGAGAAAGGAACATTTGCCTGATGGGGAAAGGAACATCATGGGACTGATAACAACTTAGGAGATAATAAATAAGACCACGGATGCCAGCCTTCAAGATATCAGAGTAGCACTCAATGTGGAGCAAGACTGGAACAGAACAGAAGCAAGGACATACCAATTGCTAACTCAGCACTAGGACCTTGCGAGCATGAGCAAGCAGTGAGGTCATACAGTAACACGGTGAGAAAGACTATCGGTGACCACCAGTGACCCCCCCTCAGCAAGAAAGCACATGCATAATTAGAATGCAAATACTATAAATAGTTCCTGGAAAAGCTATGAATATGCATGAGTATGCTAAATATATAGTTGCTGCCAGCAAGTATTGGGTGCTCTCACCTTTGTGAAACTATTTGTGTGCGAGCCCATCACTGCAATAAAGAACTCCTGCTTTCCAAAACTCCAGATTGAGTCTTAGAGAGTTCCTCTGACCAGCTTTTATGGTAACTGACTTTTGCTTATCTTTAATGTGATGATAAAGAAGAAAACAATTTTGTTTCGATTGTTTTCATATTGGATGCTGGAGAACATTTTGCCAGTATAAATCATTAGAACAAGAAGCCAACAGACAGTAGTAATGCTTCGATTTGCCACTGTCTTGGATGAAGTTAAAAAAAAATAAATCAAGCTCTACAAGTCAAATATTCCATCTTGCAGAAAAAGTCTCCTGAATTACTGTCTTCTATGAGAATTCTAGCACAGAGGATTTATTACTAATTTTACACAGCCTTCTTTTTTTATGCAAAGATGTGCTTTTGTGGTTTTGTTTTTGTTTTCTACTTCCCTTTAACATTCATATGGATAAACTGTTGAAAGAGGGACTAAAAGTATTCCCGAATAGTTTTTCAGGCATGGAAAACCACTTTAGTTTATTTTGAAAGGTTTCGATGTCTTCAGATACAATTTGCTAAAAATAAAAAAATAAAAATAAAAAAAAAAAACCCACCCAAGAAAACCAACTAACCAAAAAAAAACCCCACGAAAAAAACATGACTTTTTTACATGTCTTCTTTGAGAGAAAAAGGTATTTCTGGCTCAGCAGTCAAAAACCACCACAAACTCCTTGCTTTCCAGAGAGGATAAAGGTAACTTCTATGCTGTTTCACTCTGAATTTATCACTGGCATTTCTCATTCACCACTGAGAGTTGAAAAAGAGAAAACTAAGTTTGCTTTCTTCAAAGGAGTTCAGATCTGACAACTCCTACTCTACTTTTGAGGTTTTGGGGATTTTTTTTTTTTTTGAATGGCATCTGTTCTTTCACTATACTTTGGCAGAACAAACACTCCATTAAATAGTTTTTTAACACTTAAAATATGTCTGCTACGGTACTTTCTCTACCTTCGCCACAGAAGGAACACCTTTTCCTTGAATATTTCTTCTGCCTGATTTCAGGCAAGCTGTGTCTGCCCTCTCATCTCTGCATCTAAGAAGAAGGGCAGCTGGGATGCCCACCACCCATCTGGGCCCACTGAAGACTGCTCCTCACTCCCAAGCTGAGAACTTCTTAAACTAGCAAGAAGTGAAGTGCACTGAAAACAAGAGGAAATTGAGGAAAAACATCATTTACACAGTAATTTATAGATTTTTTCTTTAAATACAATTTTATTAAAACTTTTGCTTTTAATACCTTGTAGAAATCCACCACCTTGGAGACATCAGAAGCTGCTGACTTTCTTCAAACCAAAGGAAGAACAGGTAGTTCTCTAAATCCTGCTTCAGCAGAATTTTTTCTCACTTTTAACAATGACAGGTTGGATTTAGTAAGTTACTGTGAACTTGGCAAGATTTTTCACTTTGTCCTTTTAAAAGTATGCTTTAAAGAAAACTACTTTCATAAACAGACGGTAACTACAGATAAAGGGTCGGCATGCACCAAGGGGCTACATTACAGCATAACCACAAGGACATTACTAGATTGTGCTTTTAAGAAACTACTGGGAGACACAACAGTGAACGCAGAGAAGAAGGAAAGACTACTCGCAACTGAACAAGGGTTAAAATGCCAGGGATACAACAATTTCAGGTCATCTATTAGCAGACTGATACAGTTTAAAATTCACATTCAGCATAAACAAGACAATATGCCTGTGATGATGGGGGACAAGCTACAATACAATGCCTGAACTCTCCTAGAAAGCTGGTGTGCCAATGGCATGACTCCGACTCAGGAATTGGGAACCAGGTTTGAAAGTCTCTTTTTAATACTCTGGGTGATCTGTACTGTGAGACAAGTGGGGTTGGTATCTATATCTGTGGATATAGAAGAAAAATCTCCTTGCCTCTGACAGTGGTGAGCAACAACATTAATAAGCCTTGCCTTTTGGGGTCTGATATCAGCTTCCTCACTCAGCAGTTCAGTACAAGGCTACTAGCACTTCTGACCTGTTTCTTTCATTACTAGCCTTCCTGTAAGAAAACAGCAGAGTGCACCAGCAGATGAGTCTACATGAAGGCTGACAGTTTGGTCACTTACACAATACATACATTACACTGTTGGGACATTTGTATATGTCCTTTATCACAGGATCAAAGTGTTTTATTTATGCCCTTGGCACATGCATATTTGTTTACTGGAGTCAGGATTTTGTCCTGCATGGTCTCCAATCCAGTTTTTACTTAAAACTACAAGACTATATTCTTTTCTAAAAAAAAAATAAATTAAAAAAAAAAATCTCAGGTTTGACACGTATGATTATTTGGGTATTTTTGGCTGTGTGGAAGGTTTTTTTTGGGCCAAAAAAAGAGTGCAGACAGATACTTGGTAACTAATTTGTGCAAAAAGTCATGGGAATTTTAACACTGATTTAAGAAATGGGCTTAATAGAAAACAGATATACTTAATAGTGCATCTTGCTTCATTGATGAGATGTGCAGAACCTTGCTTTGTCTATTTACAGCAGGTTAGGACTTGCCCATTTTGCATCTGTCTTCTGCTCCTTACAGCCTTTCCTATGAAATTATTTTGACACAGTCCATTTTAATACAATATGAGGCTTCCCAGCAAACTGCCACTATTTTCATTTTTCAACCATACAAAGCATTCCCAAAGCCATATGTACTTTTTGAAAGTTAATCAGGCAGGTATCATTGTAGGGTTTTCACAGATAAAACTAAGAACCACCATCTCTTGATATATTATTTTCATGAAAACATATTAATAAGGAACACTTGTATGTTTTTTTACCTTTGTTTGTTTAAATTATATTTGGCACAAACCAAAAATCAGCCTGTAACAAATTTCAGCATAACAAAGATCCATGGGATCACACATACAACAGAAGGTGACCTTCCTCTGTTACGTAAAGCTCCTGCTCTTACTAAGAATCCACCTTGGGAAAGATACTGACTTTATTGTTTCTGCTGATTTTTCTTTCTGCTTTACATTTAGGCTGTTTTGTCTGGATTAGCTCTTCAGGAGTATTCCCCAAAGGAGGCAGGAGTCGCTTCTTACTGTTTCGGTTTTCTGAGAGCCACTGGGGAGGCAGCTCAAAGGGTCCAAAACCAAACTGCATGGAATACTTGTCATTTACCATATCAGCTTCTGTGGCCACAGCTGGCGCCACCTGAGCTGTAGAGTCTGCAATTGTCTGTGGTAGAAATTTGTGAATCAAAGTCTCTCCTACCTCTAAACTCGTGGTAGGGATTTCCTTCTGTTCCAAGTCACCAGCACCAACAGATTTGGTCTCTTTCTCCTCATCTTCTGTTGGCTTGAAGATTTGTTGTTGCCCAATATGAAACATTTCCAGAAGTTGGCTTCCTGAACGGACACTGGGCTCCAGATTAGCATCTGCAAAACCACCTGAGCTGACAATATTTCTCCTGCTATACCTTTGGTGCAGCTGTACTAGTGTCCCCACTAAGCACTTTCGTACTGATTTGTTCACAGTTAAAAATAACAAAGGATTGGCCAGCAAAGAGACCTTGGGCAACCAGATGGCAGTGAGGAACAAGAAGACTGAAATATCTGAAATATTGAGTATGGTGCGGTAAATCACCAAAGTTACATAGGGGACACTGCAGAAAATAAATATCATAACCATGGAAAGCAGCATGGCATGAAGCTCAGCTTCTCGCTGGGAGGCATAAGGTATAGAAATTGTATTCTGAGGGGTCCTTAATGCAGCTATGATGACTTTTTTCTTCTGGCTGGCACTCAGTGCCCTGCGAATAAGAATCATAAAGAGAAATACCACACCCACTGGTACAATCACTGTGGTGATGTTATAGATGATGACATATATCAGGTGGCCAAGGGAGTAACTCCAAGATTCAGAACAGGTAGACATGGCATAAATATCAGACACGTTGGTTACAGCAAATACTGGAATGCTGGCCACTATTGCATGGGCCCAGATATAGATAACCAGGTCTCGAGATTTTGCATCAGATATTTTTCGTTCCAGAGGGTATAAAACAGAGTAGTACCTGTCAAAAACCAAAATAAAATAGAATTACAACTGATTCAATGCAAAAGGTGAAATCTGTAACGAACATAATGCTTAGGAGAAGCTTCTCAGGAGCTGTCTGAGCAAAATGCCCCAAAACCCTAACTGGGTTGCCAACTAACTACCTGCTTATGAGGAAAAAACAAAGAACAAAGAAAGAGAATGCCTTTGCAGGGCTGTCTGTGAAAAAAAAAAAAAAAAAAAGTGAATAGTCAAACTTCAGGATCACATTATGGTGGCAAATGATTCTTTCAGTAAGTGGAACTGTATCACTTCAGCTGATGCATTTGAACATTAGTTTGAAGCTTTCATTATTTACTTATAAACTGGACAGTATATTGCACACAGCATAAAATCTCAGAAAACATGACAGAGGCATAGGTATGTTGCATTGATAGGTCATACTCATAGTTCATTTGAAAACCTGCTTTATGATAGGTTTTTTTTTCTCTGGATATTTGGAAAAAGCTGTCAGTCACAAATTACACGTACCCCTCTACTGGAAGTTTTGTTCTGCAGAAGCTCTGTATGGCAAAAGATCAGTGAAACACTGAACATTCTGTGTGCATTATAACATGCACTTTAGATTTTAGACACTGCTTCATTGCTTGCTTACTACTGTAGACTTTTAAGCTCGCAGAATTTTCATGACAAACCTACCCTTTTACACTTACCATTATAAGCAGAAGCAGTTTGTGCTTTTTGTGAGTAAGATTGCAAGTTTTACTGGTGAAGGGCAAATGATACGCTATTCCAGTGCCAACACTGGTATGCATTACAGAGAGTGATACTGCATTTATCAAGGCATTAACATTCAAGTAAGAGACATACCACTTTATTAAATATAGAGTTTAGTTTGGTAGAGCTAATGTATCCTGTGGTGAGACACAGTAACAGACTAACAATAATTTTATCTAACATGTATAAATGCACTGGTTCAGTAATGTAAACGGTATTAAACCAGTATCTACCTTTCCTTAAAAATGTCTTACTTAGTGTCACTGAGAAGATGATAGAGCTGTTCATTTAGGTGTAATAAGTGACTGCTAATAATAATAAGCAAACTGAACTGAATCCAAAAACTTAAGACAATCCAAAGGGCCACTTTTGATTTAGACTGATCTTCTAGATACAAAACCACTCAGAATTAATTCTGATTGTATTAATACTGGGAGATTTTTTAAATAAATCTATATTTGAAATTTGAAATAGATAGACAATCTACCTCAGGCATTGGTAAATTAACAGGCAATGGCTTTCAACTTCCACAGTTAAAAATGCTCCTTACGTATAGTCTGAAGTTGTCTGATTTCCAGTTCCATTACTGAACAAAAATTATCAACAAGAAAGAAAGGATAAAAACTTCTCTGAAGACAAATCTATAGACTCAAAGTCCTTTATAATTGGTCAGAGATATCACAGTAAACTGAAAAATAAAGGGTGCTCATGTTACAGAGAAAACTATGCCAATATGTTCTAGAAAGAAGCTGCACACAGTGAGAAAAGCACTCAAAGATCAATATGAAAGATATAAAAGGGTTTCAAAGGGAGAAATAAGAAAGAAAAATCAAGGATCCTGGCAAATTTTCTCTCTTACCTGTCAAGAGCAATGGCTGGAAAACTAAGGATGGTCACTGAGCAGAAGACTTTGTGCAGAAACTTGGCAATTCTGCAGAAGAGCATCGTATAGATCCACCAGCAGCAGTGTGGACTGGCACTAAGAGCAATGTCAAAAGGCACACAGACTAGGCTGGCACAGATCCCCGAGCAGGCCAAATTCTTAATGAGTCTGTTTGTTACAGACTTGAGTACTGATGTTCTGCAAGTTGACCACAGCACCATGATGTTACCTGTGAGTAGAGACAGGAAAGATAAAGCAAAAATAAAAATCATGGAATACTTAGATTTGGAAAGGACCTTAAGTTCATCTAGTTCCAACCCAAACAAATAAGCAACCAACCACCCCCTTCCACCCCCCAACCCAACAATAATTTTCACAGTTCTGAATGTTCCCTAGTACTGCAAACAAAAATACTTGTCTGGAGTTTGCCATGAGTCACTGATTTGAACCATCACACTGCTCAAACTAAACAGTGTGTAATGACTAGTGGCTTTATAATTCAAATAACTGAAAACAATTATTGTCCAGCTATCTCTTCCCATCTTCTACTGATGAATGAATTAGGGAATTTCAGAGGAATATCCTTAAATAGGATATCCAAACCATGCTTTTAGGTGCTTATGTTAACTCCAGCATTAAATGAGCCATCCTGAATATTCAAATATATAAATTTGCTAAAGTTTTCATATTTTACTAAGTAGTGCATAATTCTTTTTAAAAGATAAAAATACACTGCAAGTGCATGTAAAGATAATTGAAATATAAATTATTCTGTTTGTCTCTGTGCTCTGTAAGTGCATCACAGCAGCTTGCTTTTTCCACTGGCCACTTCAGTCACACAGACAGGCCTGTGTGAAACCACATCCAAGAGTTTTTATATGTACATAATGACCTACAACTAAACAAATGGGGCAGGCAAAAAAATGACAAAGAGCCTTAATGCACATAACTTCACAAAAGTAAACACGGAAGGCAATTCAATTCTGGATATTCAAGCACTACACATTTGTTTCAAATAGGGTGAATGGCTGACTATGAAGTAGAAGTACAGAGAAAAGTCAAATATACACAGTGAGAGAAAACAGCATCTTAAGCTGCTGACTGAGGTATGTAAAAGCAGCTGCAGTCCCCCCTACTTCTCTCTGTTGACACTACCATTTTTTTGGCTTGATTTTTCCTCTAACCAATAAAAAACCCCACATAAAATGCCAGCAAGGTCATATTCTTGTTCACATGGCTGACATGTATACCAAATGGCAAGTACTAAGAAATACCAGAAAGTCAAGCTTAGCTTCTTGATAAAACAGTGCGCCACTTGAATAGAAGCATGCAGCATTAACTTCCAAAATCCACCTCACAGACATGCTATTTCAGTCTGCAGTTCATGAATTTGGAATTAAATTTTCTATATACTGTGTTGTGTCTTATGCAAATTTCTTTTTGGTAGCTGACAAAATATTGAGTTACGTATTTACTATCTGATGTGTTTTAAAGAACGGAATCATCATCTGGTTTTGGCAGGTGCTTTGAGCTTGACAATGTATTTCACACGCAGTATTTAATCAGTTGTATTTAAAGCTTCCTAAGTTGCTAGGAGATATTCAGTCAACCAAACCACTTGCTTTCAACAATGTCTCTGACTCTTCAGTTATTAAAGAAATACTTCTCACATACGTTATTACAATGCCCTGGAATAGGGGAGGAGCTGGGTTGAGGGTTTGTTTGGTTGGATGGTTTGGTTTTTAACTTGAATCTTTCATCTGGTTTGAATTGCACTGATTTTGTAACCCTACTCCCAAAGCAAGTTTCACCTCCATTAGAATGAATATAAATGCAGAATGGAAAAATTAAAGAAATAAGAGGGTTTTTCATTAATACTTCAGAAGCTGCTAGAGAACTCCTGAGCTATTCTTCAGGGTTCTACAGAGGAGTTTCATTCAAGACTACAGATTTTCAACTGTTGAATTACTTCTGCAAATTACATCATATTGTCATTTGTACATCAGAGTCACAAGGAAATTAAATTAGCCCTGATGCTGACTAATCCTAAATAGAACTGGAAAGAATAAAGTGTAAAATAGAAACACTAGTTCTAAGATGAGGAAGAATTGCTTAGACAGACACAATAAAGTCAGAGCCTGAAAGGGAAAGAACGGATTAGCGGAGAGAACTGTCCACTTGAAAATTAGTGAGTGAGTATCTCCCAGTGAAACACTACTTCTCTACTTGCAACTATGAGTAACTTGATGAACCAGATCAGCTTCAATATAGATTGGTAAATCGTTCTGCTGATGCCTTCAAAGCAAGTATTTCCCTCCATGCGTCTCAAAGCCACCTACTCAGAGAAAAAAAATTACACCAGGAACTTGCACAGCATTAAATATTGAGAAGCTTCAGAACCAAACTGCATGCATTTCTCATTTTGTTGCTTCTCACCTCTCCCGAGCAACTCCTTTCCATGGAAAAGGATAACAACATTCCAGGCAACAAGGTAATTCAACAAGCATTATGCAAATTGCACTCTGAACCTTTTCACAATGTCTAGAGGAGAGGCACTTTTCTGTTCTGTACGTATTAGTCATTCACTGTTGATCCTGTGAAAGGCGCTAGTCTAACACCAGTATTCTCCTTGACTTAAAACTGTACCAGAGGCTGTTGCACACTCCTACAGTGGGCAAAACTGTCATTTTCTACCATGAGTTAGTTTCTGAGATATTTCTGCTTGATAACTGCTCTAGGGCTACATAACCTTGGATTCAAACTTCGTAACAGGATTGTGCTGGTTAGCTGGAGGCACCCAGGAAAAGCTGGAGTGAACAAGCAGCTGGAAAACGTAGCATCTTGCTGTTTCCTTGAAGTCACTACTGCCCAGGAAAGGAGTGTCGCTTATAATCCATCACATGAGACAAAGCATATCCCATATTCGTTGTACAGAATTCTAAAAAAGATGAAGTGTTTTCATTTATAAAGGAAAGGCATTTTTTTGGTCTTCTCAGAGAATGAACGTTTATGTGTACATAAAATGCTTACTATGCCTGATGCTGGTTGACAAACTTACCAGCACACAGACTAAGTGAGCAGGAGGCAAGTATGCAACTTCTCTGTGCCTTCTCAAATTCTCAGACTAAAAGAGAGGAATAGGAAAAGGTAACCACTGCACAAGAAGCAGCTCTTTCAGTGTTTAAAGCCTGACGAACAAGGTTAAACAGAGTTCATTTTATCCTCTTCTATTACTGCAACTATCAACATTCAATAAAATCTTCATGTACTGTACACCAATTCCACTGTATTCAGATTTGAAAAGACGGTTGTTTCCAGTCATGCCCTACTGTTAATTGAGAGGTATCACAGATAAGCAGCTATACAGTACATGAAGTTGCGTAGTACACCAAGAAAGTAAATAAAAAGGTCCAAGCACAAGCATGCTTCTAACCTTTGTAGTGTTTCACCTTCCCTGTATCTGCAAGGAGTAACATTCTCTGAGCATGAAATGTTATCAGAATACATTAGTCTGATTCAAAGCAGCAAAAAATACTTCTGTTTCTCTTTCAAGTTGTACTCTCCTTGGATTTCACTGCCTGACACAAAGCATTGATGCAGGCATCAACAAGTGAGCTAGTTTTGAAATACTAGCTTTTAGCAGTAATTCAAATAACATGAAAGATTCTTAATAATACTTCTAACAAACAAAAGGACAATCCCCATGGAAACCAGAGACAGTTACTTAAAAGAAATGCATTTGCCATGCAATCATCAAGAAAAAAAAAAGGGGGAAGAAGAAATAAGCTCCTTGTGGATTAACGCATGGAACCCAATCCATTAGCTGGGTTTGACATCTCACATTTTTGTTAACATTAATTGGATGTTAATGCAATTGAATCATAACAAAGTCCACATTCTAGCAAAATACTCCTCCTCGCAGCTTGCTTTCCTCTGCTTTCTGATTTCTCTCCCACCCAGAGCGGGGTTCTCAGGATCCAGCCATCTTTCCCAGCAAAGAGCCTCTGCCCACCCCATCCACACTTCATGCAGGATTACAGGAAGGAAGTGGCAGCACTCTTTCTAAGAAAACAACACAGGAAGCAATGAAAAAGATTAGGAACGGGGCCATTAAAAAATTAACTGAAAACGTCACAGCATGATGAACTGGAAAAACTTCCCTTGTTGAAACACCAAGATGATTACATTCCCAATCCTCAAACTCTTTCTTTCATACTGTTTTCTGAGGTATTTTAAGGAAGGGTTTTTTCCACTGAACTTACTATGCTAAAAGACAAATCTCACTCAAAAAGTGGTTCACTGGAAATATTTTTGGCAACCCCTGATAGGTAGCTATCAAATATCCTTCTTCGGTTAAAATGTATATTGTTTACTTACTCATCTCCAGAGGGAACAGGGATCCATCAGGATACATGTTCGCTTACACAGTTGGAAAAAATGTCTAACTTTATCACAGAATGGTTGAGGGTGGAAGTGACTTCTAAAGATCATCTGGACCAAAACCTCTGCTCAAGCAAGACCAAATTCTTGTAATTCTATAATTAGAATGTCCTGAAACCATATCTAACTTTTTTTTACATTCTAGCTGCCAGGGTCAAAATTCAGTGATAAAAAGAGTGGGCAATAACTTAATTTGGGTTTTAACATATTTATTTCCTTTTCAGTTTGTGCACATGTGCAACCAGATGTTTTACATCCAAGATGAAGTGTCTGATGCAAGAGAACTACCTTGGAACAAGATCTGCTGTATACCAAACTTCTTTTTTTTTTTTTCCCCACTTCATAAAACAGGTGATCTCCTTAATTTTAAAATTATATTTCTAACTGCTATTCTTGGCATTCCCAATCACCTGTTCCTACTTTCATCGTAAGTACTGATTTAGAACTATACTATGTAAAAGACTTACCAACATTGAGCCCTTATCACCAAACTTGCCTCTACTGAACTGCATCAAGCACAAATTTGCTCAGTACAGAGTAGTTAGTTGCAAAGCATTTCAGTATAGATGTAAATTATACTAGATGTTTAGAGTGTTTATTTAGTGTGTTTCTGCTCCCAAGTTACACAGTATAGTTACACCGTAGAAGAGATTTTAGGGAACGAGTTAGTCATAGCAGCTTAGTTTCAGAAAATGAATATAAGATTTCCTTGTAAAAACAGGTAAGTCATTGACTTTTGTTGCAGCATTGCCTAGGATTGTCAAGTTTGCAATACTGCAGTATTGCCAA